CCTCTTAGGTAACCTACATTAAATAAGCATGTATTAAGCACCTACTGAATTCTCTGAGGAATAGCTATCAGGAGCTTACAGTCTTGTCATCATGGCTGAGGACTGTGCCAGTGGAAAGTGCTGGTGAGTGGGTGAGCCATCTGTGGTCCTTGACTCCTACCTTGGCCTTTCATGCAACCTGTGCTTGTATGCACTGAGTATTGGTGCTCCCAGACCGCCTTCTGCCTTGTGAATACTTTTATTTTTATTTATTTGTTTACTTGTTCATTTATTTTTGAGTCGAGGTCTTACTCTGTTGCCCAGGCTGGAGCGCAGTGGCACACTCACAGCTAGCCCCGCCTCAACCTACTTGGCTTAGGCGGTCCTTCCACCTCAGCCTTCCAAGTGACTATGACTACAAGGCCCGCTAATTTTTTTGATTTACTCTAGATACAAGTACTCACAAAGTTGCCTAAGCTAGTTTCGAACCCCCGGACTTAGGCAATCCTCTCTCCTCCTCCTCTCAAAGTGTTGGGATTGCAGGCATGAGCCACCGTGCCTGGCCTGCTTTGTGAATTCTGATTTCTGCACATCAGCTGACGGAGGGAGGTTGGAGGCATTGCACCAGCAGACAGTTCTTTTTTTCAGCATCTGCATCTTTGTTCCTTCAAATTTGTAATTTGTACATGAATTTGACACCTGTGTTAGGCTTTATAGCTGCTTTGTCAAGTAGAAAATGGAAGAGTGAAAATCTTACTCCAGTGATTAGACATGTCAGTGCATCTTCTAGATTTCACCTTGTGCAGGCACAGATGGAAATCAGTATGTGGCCTGGATGTGGCAAGCTGCTCTCTCCATTAGGGGCTTTTTGGACTGTGTGTTCACTTATGGAGGAGAGGGACACGTGTCACACACACAGGCCAAGACCGGCAGTTTCATCCTCAGGAGGTTATTGGGCAAGTGCATCGAGTCACGTACAAGAAAGTTTTCAGCCACACTCTTTGATATGGTAAACCACTGGAAATGCTTCCAAACCTCCCTCTACAGGGGAGTGATAGGGTCACACAATGGAATATTACATAGCAGTGAAAATTAATGAACTCTGTCTACATGTAAATGAACCATAGAAACATATGAATGAAAAAAGTGTATTACATCATAGAAGACTGTATCCAGACCATTTCTATAAAGCTCAAACATAAGGTGAAGTTCAGGAAAATTTAGGGATCATGGGTAGTGAATCTAGTTGTGTATAATTTTTTTTTTTTTTTTTTTTTGAGTTGGAGTCTCACTGTCGCCCAGACTGGAGTGCAGTGGCCGCTCCTGGCCACCGCAGCCTCGCCTGCTGGGCTCCGGCGATCCTTCCGCCTCGGCCCTCCGAGTAGCCGGAATTACAGGCATGCGCTACCATGCCTGGCTGATTTTTTGATATATTGTAGAGATAAGGTCTCGCTGCCCAGGCGGATCTCGAACCCACGGGCTCAGGTAATCCACTCACCTCAGCCTCCCAAAGGCACGGGATTACAGGCTGAGCCACCGAGCCCGGCTAATTTTTTAATTTTTAGTTATTTTTTGAGTTGGAGTCTCACTCTGTCACCCAGGCTGGAGTGCAGTGGCACACACATGGCTACCGCAGCCTGGACCTACTGGGCTCAGGCAATTCTTCCACTTCAGCCTTCCATATAGCTGGAACTACAGACATGCTATCATGCCTGGCTAATTTTATTATTATTATTATTATTTATTGTAGAGATGAAGTCTCTCCATATTGCCCTGCTGGTCTCGAACCCGGGAGTTTAGGCAATCCTCTGGCCTCTGCCTCCCAAAGTTCTGGGGTTATAGGCGTGAGCCATCATGCCCAGCCATGAACTTAGTTTTAAAAGTAAGGGAAAGCCTGGGTGCAATGGTTCACACCTGTAATCCAAGCACATTCGGAGGCTGAGGTGAAGGGATTGCTTGAGCCCATGGGTTTGAGACCAGCCTGGGCAATTTGGTGAGACCTCGTCTCTACAATAAGATCAAAAAATTAGACGGGCGTGGTGGTGCATGCCTGTGGGTCCAGCTACTTGGAAGGCTGAGGTGGAAGGATCGCCGGCGCCCCGCAGGTCGAGGCTGCGGTGGCCGGGAGCGTGCCACTGCACTCCAGCCTGGGCAACAGACTCAATACAAATACATAAATAAAAATAAAAAAATTAAGAGAGTGATAAACCCAAAATGTAACGTTGTATAGGTGGGGAGGCTTGAGGATAGAGAGGCGCAGGGGGAGCTTCAGAGACAATGCTAGTGCTAGTTTTTAGGGTGTTGGGGGCACATGGATGTTTTTTGCTTTATACCTTCTATGTACATGACATTCATTTGCATGTGCTCAGTATTATATAATACTTTGAAAAACAGTGTTTGAAATGTTAGACTATGTCATTGAAGATAATGTGTGAAAGCTGAGTCAGGGCTTTTTATGATGCTTTCAAACCCTCTGAGCACAGAAATCGTCTCCCGTGGCCCCCAGTGGAATTCACCTTCACCTTCCAAGGATTCAGATTTTGCTGAGGCACAGGGGAGCTCTGTGCCCTGTCCTAGTCCTGCAGCAGTGAATGTGTCATCCGTCTCTCAGGGGTGGGTCTCTCTGATGCCTAATTGTGTTTTCTTCCCCAGGGCCTGGCTGCTGGGGCCTCCTTGAATGTGTATCAAACACAGGACAGAGGGAGGGTCTTCCTTGCCCACTGTGGGGAGAAGTGAGGCCAGAGGGCTCTAACGTACCTGCCCAAATGTGCCGGGCTGTGACGTGACAATTAAAACAGCTTTTTCTTACCCAAGTCCGGGGCTCTGATCGTGAAGAGAAAACCTTAGGTGACCGGCTGCCTGTCCTCACCTCCATCTCTTTTCTGCTAGCCTCAGGGTAGAGGGTGCCAGGGAGGAAGACCCTGGCTTCAAATGAGAAGGAAGCAAGGCAGGGCCCAATGCCAGGCAGAAGCTGCCTCTCCCCCTTTGCACCCGTGATTCTGGTCCCGGACTGTGGCTGGTTGAGACTCTGGCTTTGGGAGTGTTGTCTGCCTGGGAGTCACTGATCTTACTCCCTCTCAACAGTCACCTCAGAGGGGGTGAGAAGAAGGACAGTCCGCCAAGCATGAGATAAAAACTCCTCATCTTAAGCAAAGAGGCTTTGCAGGCCAGGGAGAGACTCTGGCCCTGAGTCCCAGGAGCATGGGCGAGGAGGTGAGGTCAGGTGCTCAGGCAACTGCTGGGCCTTTCCAAAGTCTTTGACCAGATTTAATGCTGCTGCTAATAAATGATTATGCGTTTGGTTTGAAGAACCAAGTGTGCTTAACATGAAAACTGGCTGTGTTCCTTGACCTGTTTCCTCAGCTGGTTGGACTAATTTGATTGATTGGTTAATAAATGAGTCCAAGGTAGTTGGGCTACTTTTTATCTTAGTTTCCGTGAATTTTATAACCTGTGCCAAAAAAGAAATAGCAATTTTTTTTTACATGATCAAAACTCACCTCAGCCTCGACCTTCCGGGCTCGGGTGATCCTTCCACCTCAGCCTCCCTAGTAGCTGAGACTACAAATGCACGTCACCACAACCAGCTAATTTATTTTTTGTAGAGACAAGATCTTGCTATATTGCTCAGGCTTGTCTTGAACTCCTGGGCTCAAATAATCCTCTCACCTCGGTATCCCAAAGTGTTGGGATTACAGGCGTCAGCCGCTGTGCCTGACCCACTTGCTTTTTAAAAATGTTTATCTCCTTTTCCTTGAGTAGTAGGAAATGTGCAATTTTTTTCAAAGGGTAGAAAATGCAGTTATTTATTTTTACTTTCCAATTTGATCCCTAGAATAAAGACAGCATTGCCCTCAGTAATTGAATAGGTAGGCGTAGAACTCTGCAGGGAGAGTGTGAGAGATTCAGAAGACCTGGTTCACACCCCAGCTGTGTAGCCAGAGCACGGGTGACCTTGGGCAACTCTCCTGATTCTTCTGTGCTCCAGTTACCACCTGTAAAGTGGGCAATTAGCGTAAAGAGTTTATGATTCTGAGACTTCCTGTGTACTTGTGCATCCTGGCATTCATTCCACATGCATTCATTCATTCATTCACACATTCATCACGTTCAGTGTGTCCCTGCTATGCCACGTTCCAGGCAATGTTCTAGACACTGAAATATGACAGAGAACTAAACAGGATGAACAGGGTGCCTGTTTTTGTGGCGCTTGGAGTCTCGAGGAGAGACAGATGCACAATTGGTCATTATACAGCAGCATGTGGGTGATGCGTAGGGAAGGTAGCACTAAGTGCAGCTGGGGGATGGGAAGGGACACTTAGCCTGAGATCTGAAATAGGGGATGGCATGGGGGAAGAGCCTGAGGAGGAGGGGCTCCGTACCTTCCTAGGGCTGGGGAGAGATGAAGCCTCAAAAGTCAGCAGAGAGGCTGGGCACGGCTCACCCCTGTAACCCCAGCACTTTGGGAGGCCAAGGCAGGACAATTGCTTGAGCCCAGCAGTTCCAGACTAGTCCAGGCAACATAGTGAGACCTCATCTTTACAAAAAATTAAAGATATTAGCGGTGGTGGCATGCGCCTGTAATTCCAGCTGCTCTGGTGGCTGAGGTGGAAGATCACCTGAGCCCAGGAGGTTGAGGCTGCGGTGAGCTGCAATTGTGCCACTGCACTCCAGCCTGGGTGACAGATTGAGACTCTGATGCAAAAAAACAAATTAAAAAAAAAAAAAAGATCAGCAGAGGTGAGTAGTGGAAGGCCCCATGGGCCATGGCGAGAAGCTTGGACTTCATCCTGTGCACAGTGACTGGCCCTTAAAGTGTTTTCTAATCCAGGGAGTGAGGAGGCTGGGCTGTGGCTTCAGGCAGCTGGGTGGAGAGGGCCTGGCTGGGGAGGTCACTGGGAGGCTGCCCGACCAGTTCATTATCAGTACTGAGCCCTCTCGTGACATTGCAGATCAAAACAAAGCCCCTTTTTCAGATTGCTGTGGGCTTGCACTTAGCAAGGGTCTTCTCTCTCCCCCAGAGGTAGCGAGTGATGTGCAGACCAGTCTGCCTGGAGTCAGCGTTACCCTGACCTGCCCGGGGGAAGAACCAGAAGACAACGCCACTGTTTACTGGGAGATCAGGAATCGGGTCGAGGGCTCGCAACCCGGAAGATTGGTCAGCAAAGGAAGGAGGCTGCTTCTGAGGTCGGTGCAGCTCAGTGACTCTGGAAACTATTCGTGCTACCTGGACGGCCGCCCAGCTGGGACTGTGCACCTGCTCGTGGATGGTGAGTTGTACCTCAGAGTCGGTGCCCAGGGCAGCCCCAATGCCTGTCAGAAGCGAGGCTCTGTGCATTCTAGAGAGAGTCTCCGCCTGACCTTTTAAACTCCTGTTATTTCCTTGGCCCAAGAATTTCAGGGAAAGGCCCACTGATGTCTGCCAGCAAGATACTGGCTGACATTCCCGCTGGGTGGGTGCATCTGACTGATGGAGGACACTGGCTGGCCGGCCTTGTGAGTTAGAGCTTATGGTAGACTGGTGAAACAGTAGGCCCGGAGTGAGGCCCCCAGGTCTGAATCCTGCTCCTTCACACACAGCGTAACTTCTCTGCCCCTCACAGATGCAAGTAGTATTAAACTCTGCGTAGCACATACCGAGCTCTCAAATTAGCTGTTCATTTTTTTTTTTCTTTTTGAGTTGGGATCTCACTCTGTCGCTGCCTAGGCTGGAGTGCGGTGGCACCTTCATGGCTCACCGCAGCCTCAGCCTCCTGGGCTCCTGCAATCCTTCCACCCCAACCTCCCAAGTAGCTCAGGTTACAAGCATGAGCAGTAGAGCCTAGCGAGCTATTCTTATTTTTAGAATTAGCCCTCCCATCTACATAAAGACTTCAAAGAGTTGGTGCCCTGTGTGCCAAGCCCTGTGCCAAGGCACTTTGTTCCTGTATTTCATGTTCTTCTGTGAGGTTGGTGGGAATTGTTAGGTCAGTGGGCCCCTGTGTTGAGCCGGTGCTGTAGGTAAGATGCAAAGAATTGCACAAAAATTAAACTGGAAAATACAGTTTATTTAGAAAGTAGATTAGAGAGAGAGAGAGAGAGGAAGAGAGAGAGAGGATATTCACCTTCCCAAGGTAGGGGAGGGGGCCAAAGCTTAGGGAAACAAAGCATGACTGCGGCTTCTTGAGGTCGAATGCCTTTTAAACCCTTTTTCTTTGATGGGGGCAGGTTGCTAAGGTGATTGGGTGGTAGTCTGTTTTGTGTCATCACGAAGGGGTAGGTAAGCACAGGTACTGTGGATGGCAGGCAGATGGGTGGGTTGGTCACATAACTGTTGCCATGGTGATGGGGTATGCTTATATCACGTTGGTCATGAAGGGCTGATTACTATAGATTATGTCATCCTGGTTCTTCATGGCTAAAAGACAAACTTGGAATAGAAAAGTAAACAGTGGCCAGGTGCAGTGGCTCACGCCTATAATCCCAGCACTTTGGGAGACTGAGGTGAGAGGATTGCCTGAGCCCATGGGTTCGAGACCAGCCTGGGCAACTTGGGGAGACCTCATCTCTACAATAAATCAAAAAATTAACCGGGCAATGTGGTGCATACCTGTACTTCCAGCTACTTGGAAGGTTGAGGTGGAAGGTCACCTGAGCCCAGTAGGTTGTGGCTATGGCTGTGAGCATGCCACTGCACTCCAGCCTGGGCAACAGAGTGAGACTCCAACTCAAAAAAAAAAAAAAAAAGAAAGAAAGAAAAGTAAACAGTACAAAGCAGGCTTGTTGTGGGGTTGTAAGGCCATTATAAGTAGCTATCTCTGGGAAACTGGTTCTGTCCTTGGCTAATGATTAGAGGATAAATTAAAGTGAACTGCTAGAAAAACATGACAGAACTAGGCAGTGTTAAAATGGTGGCTCTTGGCTGGGCATGGTGGCTCACGCCTATAATTCCAGCACTTTGGGAGGCCGAGATGAGAGGATTGCCTGAGCCCATGGGTTTGAGACCAGCCTGGGCAACTTGGTGAGCCCTCATCTCTTCAACAAATTTTTTTAAAAAGGCTGCTCTTTGACTATATCTAATCCACCTTTTGTCCTTTCACTTCCCATCATTTCCCTGTGAGTGAAAGCGGTGTTATTGTCACTATCACTGTTATATTAACATCAATTCATTTATAGATAAGGAAACAGAAGAGCGGTTGGGACTTGCCAGAGGCCACACAGCCTGGTCTGTGTGTCTCCGAAACCTATTTTTTGGGGGGTCATCTTGCCCAATATCTACTTTCTTTATTTTATTTAATTTTTTGAGTCAGATCTCCCTCTGTCGCCTCAACCTGCTGGGCTCAGGTGATCCTTCTGCCTCAGCCTTCCAAGTAGCTGGAACCACAGGCGCGCGCCACCATGCTCAGCTAATTTTTTGATTTAGTGTAGAGACAAGACCTTGCCAAGTTGCCCAGGCTGTACTTGAACCCTTGGGCTCAGGCAATCCTCTAGCCTCTGCCTCCCAAAGTGCTGAGATTACAGGCGTGAGCCACTGCGCCCCGCTCAATAGCCACTTTTCAGCCACCACAATTACATCTGCATGTGGCTGAGTGCCTTGCTGTCCTGCGTGCTGCCTGGCTCCAGGGCTGGGTGAGGGACTGAGCCAAGGCTCCTCCCGGGGAAGGTGGGGGAGGCTGCCAGGAGGTGAGGCGTGCCCCCGGGAAACCCTGTGTACCCTGTCTGCCCTCTCATGCCATTGTGCTCCCCTGTCAGTTCCCCCAGAGGAGCCCCAGCTCACCTGCTTCCGGAAGAGCCCCCTCAGCAATGTGGTTTGTGAGTGGAGTCCGCAGAGCCTCCCTTCCCCGACGACCAAGGCTGTGCTGTTGGTGAAGAAGTTGTGAGTATCTTGGGCTGGACAGTGTGCGGTGTCTACTCTCTTCTTCCTGAGGGCCTCAGAGTAGGGGTGGGACTTTCAACAGAATCAAGTGGAATGTGCCAGTCTGCTGATTCCAGAATGTTATCACTGGGAATAAGGAAGGGAGGGACTGAGGGGGAACTGGGCTTAAAAGTGTGACCAGGCCCGTCATCCTAGCAACTCAGCTAGGTTATGGTAACAGTTATGGGAAATGGGCTTTATTTTCCTCATTTAACAGATGGGGAAACTGAGGCTCAGAGAGATCGATGAATGTGGTTTAGGTCATCTAGATAGTAAGTGGCTCCGCAGGGGATTCAATCTCAGTCTGATTTCATTCAAAGTCCAAAGGTTGGACCCGGCGCAGTGGCTCACACCTGTAATCCCAACACTTTGGGGAGGCCGAGGTGAAAGGATAGCCTGAGCCCAGAGGTTCAAGACCAGCCTGGGCAACTTGGTGAGACCTCGTCTCTACAATAAATCAAGAAAAATTAGCCAGGTGTGGTGGCGCGCACCTGTGGTTCCAGCTCCTTGGAAAGCTTAGGCAGAAGGATCTCCTGAGCCCAGCAGGTTGAGGTTGTGGTGGCTGTGAGACTAGATGACAGAGTGAGACTCTGACTCCAAAAAACAAAACAAAACAGACTCCAATTACCACCCCCCAAAAAACACAAAGTCCAAAAGTTTTGGGCGTTACTCTAAAAAAGATGCAAATATCCCTGGGAGGGGGCAGCACAGCCAACCCATTCATATCAGCACCTGTGCCCCCATGGGCACATCAGGCTCTTTCCATCACAAAGGCAGGAGGGAGGAAGTGGTGATGGGCGGGCTGAGGGAATTGGGGAAGCGGTACGGATGTCTGGCCTTCCTAGGGGTACCTGTGCCACCACCAGAAGACGGCATAAAGTGGGGGAACTTGGGATGGGAATGGCACGGACGTAGAGGAGCTGGGAGATGTTGAATACAGCTATGTCTCTGTAGTTCTGCCTGTCTCCATCCTGAGCTGAGGTTCCCTTAGTGCAGAGGTTTAGACTTGAATTTGAGATGTCGGTCATAGAGCACAGTAGTTCCCCCTTATCTGAGGGGATCCACTCCAAGACCCCCAGTGGATGCCTGAAACCACAGATTGTAACCAGGATATAAATATGTTTTCCCCAAACATGCACTGCCTACGATACTGTTTAATTTATAAATTAGTGCCGGGTGCAGTGACTCAAGCCTATAATCCCAGCACTTTGGGAGGCTGAGGTGAGAAGATTGCCTGAGTCCAAGGGTTCAAGACCAGCCTGGGCAACTTGGTGAGACTTCGTCTCTAAAATAAATAAATAAATAAATTAGCGATGTGTGATGGCATGAGCCTGTAGTTCCAGCTACTTGGAAGGCTGAGGCAGAAGGATCGCCGGAGTCCAGCAGGTCGAGGCTGCAGTGGCCTAAAGCGTGCCACTGCCCTCCAATCTGGGTGACAGAGTGAGACTCCGGCTCAAAAAATTTTTTTTGTAAATTAGATTCAGTAAGAGGTTAACAACAATAACTAAGAGGTTAACAATAACTAATAATAAAATAGAACAGTAGCAACAATATACTGTAATTAAAGTTATGTGAATGTGGTCTGTCTTACTCTCTCTCAAAAAATCTTTTTTTTTTTTTTTTTTTGAGTCAAAATCTCACTCTGTTGCTAAAGTGTAGTGGCACGATCGTGGCTCACTGCAGCCTCAAACTCCTGGGCTCAAGCAATCCTCCTGCCTCAGCCTCCCAAGTAGTTGGGACTACAGGCATGCACCACCATGCCCAGCTAATTTTTAGATTTTTTTGTAGAGACGAGGTCTCACCATATTGCCCAGGCTGGTTTCAAACTCTTGGGCTCAAGTGATCCTCCTGATTCCGCTTCCCGAAGTGCTGGGATTAAGGCATGAGCTACTACACATGATCCTCAAAATATCTTACTGTACAGTACTCACCCTTCTTCTTTTGATGGTGTGAGGTGATCAACTGCCTATGTGATGGAATGGAAGCCGGCAAATGACACAGGTGTTGGGACGTAGCATTAGGCTACTGCTGGCCTCCTGACCATATGTCAGATTCTGGATCACCGATTCTGGTGATGTCCATGGGTGTCTGGAGCAGTCCATGTCAATGACTAATGGATGGGTGGCGTGTAACGACATGGGTACGCTGAACAAAGGGGTGATTCACATCCTGGGTGTGGTAGCGTAAAATTTCATCACGCTACTAAGAATGGTGGGCAAAATTGAAAATCTTTTTTTTTTTTTTTTGGTAAACAACTTGAAACTGCTCTTTTTTGTTTTTTTGAGTTGGGATCAGCCTCTGTTGCCCAGGCTGGAGTATGGTGGCACCATCACGGCTACCACAGCCTTGACCTCCTGGGCTCAGGTGATCCTCCCACCTCAGCCTCCCAAGTAGCTGGGACTACAGGTGCATGCCACCACATCTGGCTAATTTTTAAATTTTTTTGTAGAGACAAGGTCTCACTATGTTGCCTTGGATAGTCTTGAACTCCTGGGCTCAAGTAATCCTCCCGCCTCAGCCTGGAATTACAGGCATAAGTCACCACACCCGGCTGTAGACAGATGTCCGAAAACATATGAATTGTTTGTTTCTGGAATTTTCCATTTAATATTTTCAGACCATTAGTTGACTACAGGCAACTGAAGCCACAGAAAGTGAAAGGTTGAATGAGGCAGGACTACTATCAAAAAACCAGAGCTGCTGCTTCAGCAGGGCGTATGGCTCCCATGTGTGTCTGTCTCCACAGAGGTGCTGGGTGGCCTGGCAGTGACATTTTCGTTCTGTCTTCTCTGCTGAAAAGCGTAGATTACCCATCTGCAAATGACAGAGCTGCCATCAGGACTTTCAGCTCATGGCCCAAGTAGAGAAGCCCAGAAAGCCTCATAACCCAGCGTTGGATACGCCGTGTTTGGGTCCGTGGCCCTTCTCCATAGACAAGATTAGACAGAGTAGCTTCTCAAGCCAGCCACAGAAAGCGTATTCACTCCTGACCCTTGTGGACTGACTCTTCAGCTAATTCTTTGTGGACAGTGGGAGTGTGAAGGAGCAAGGTGTGTGAGCTCACACCCTCCTCCTGTCAGCAGTCAGGCGTTTCTCTGCTCTGGAGTCAACAAGGCTACTGGGCACTTTTGAAGTGAGGAACATGGGGGGTGGGGAGTGGCTGTGAGAACCTCAGGGGCCCCAGCACCCACTGAAGACCCCTGGACTCTGGAGTCCCTGTGGGTGAGACAGGCCCTGGAAAGAGGTTATTGTGTGTGCTGCTTTTTCTCTCGGGTATGCCCGCTTTTGTGCTCCCACTCCACAGGTGTGTGGTAACTCAGCCTCTGCCCTGGCCTAGGCGCTGTGCTGGGGGTGTGGGAGAGATGCAGGCCACCAAGAGGGAGGCCCTGCCCTCAGACACCAGCAGGGCACGCTTGGACACCAGACTGCGACCTACCTCCTCAGTGTTGGGCGGATGGACATCTGGGTGGTGATGAGGGTGGAAGGAGATGGGAGATGAGGGGGTCTCTAACTCAGACTGGGGAGTTGGGGCAGGTTCTTAGAAGCAAAGAGTTTGTCCCATGTGCTGGACTCGACTTAGGCCCAGGTTGAAACCCAAATCAGAGGTGAATGACTCGTCAACATGTAGCCTCACATGCCCACACTCGCCATGAGAAGGTGAAGGCTCAAGCCTCCAGGCCAGGTGAGATGGGTATCTGACTCACCCTGAATGACTTGTCACTTGGAATTCTTTTCTGAACTTATCTGCCAGAACCCCTCCAGTGCTTCATGCTTCTGAAATGGCGTTTCTACTGGGTGTCTAGTCATCTGAGGTCAGATCTTTTTTTTTTTTTTTTTTAGTGCCTTAAGGTCAGAAGGGAGACTCTTGACTTCTGTCTCCCACAGTGCCAAGAGCATGGGCCCTGGCAGAATTTTACATGTATCCCTCTTCTTTTTCTTTTGAGTTGGAGTCTCACTCTGACCCCCAGGCTGGAGTACAGTGACATGTCCATGGCTCACTGCATACTCAATCTCCTGGGCTCAGGCAATTCTTCCACCTCAGCTTCCTGAGTAGCTGGGACCTCAGGCATGTGCCACCACCCCTGGCAATTTTATTTTTTACTTTTTTTCTTGTTTCCCACCCCCGGCTAATTTTTTGATTTATTTTTATTTTTATAGAGGTGAGGTCTTGCTATGTTACCCAGGCTGGTCTCGAACTCCTGGACTCAAGTGACTCTCCCATCTGGACCTTCCAAAATGCTAGGATTACAGGTGCGAGCCACCTTGCCCAGCTACATGTATTTTTCAGTTAGTCCTAACAGAACCCTTATGAGGTAGGTATTATTAATATTCTTCTTTTCTTTTCTTTTCTTTTCTTTTTTTTTTTTTGAGTCAGAGTCTCACTCTCGCCCAGGCTGGAATGCAGTGGCATGCTCACGGCCACCACAGCCTCAACCTGCTGGGCTCAGGCGATCCTTCCACCTCAGCCTTCCAAGTAGCTGGAACTGCAGGCACTCACAACCATGCCCAGCTAAATTTTTGATTTATTGTAGAGATGAGGTCTTGTCAAGTTGCCTAGACTGGTCTCGAACCCTCTGGCTCAGGCAATCCTCTCGCCTTGGCCTCCCAAAGTGCTGGGATTACAGGCTTGAGCCACTGAGCCCGGCTTAATATTCTCATTTTCAAATGACAAAACAAAGACTCGGAGGTTGAAAAATTTACTCAAAGGGGGGACACACCTCACCAACAAGGGTACCTGCATAATGAACAATTGTGTAGCTAACCCTGAATTGTACTCCACATCTTTAAAAGAAAAAGAAAAATTTGCTCAAAGTTACAAAAACTAGTTAGAGTTGGTAAGGCCAGGGCTGGGATTCAGACCCTGGGATTAGATTTCAGAACCCGACCTTCTCTGCCCTCTCGAGTGAATGATCCCTGCCTTTATTTTGTGTCTAACAGTCAGAACAGTCTGATACAAGACTTCCAAGAACCATGCCAGTATTCTCAGGAGTCCCAGAAGTTCTCTTGCCAGTGGGCCATCCCAGAGGAGGACAACTCTTACAGCTACATAGTGTCCCTGTGTGTCACCAACAACGTTGGGAGCAAGTCCAGCAGATCCCAGACATTTGAAGGTTTTGGAATCCGTACGTAAGCTCTTGCCCACCTTCCTGCTGCTTCCTTCTCTTTTGATTTAATACTCTTTATTGACTTTAGGAGTGGGGGCAGGGAAGGGGTGGTACAAGGGCCTGGTGAACTGGTGCCTTTTGGGCAATGCTTGCCAGGTCTGACAGCAATGGACGAGGGCTTTGCCAGGATATGACAGGGGCATGGGCTGGCCAGGCTGGGGTCCTGCCTGGATGGGGTCTGCAGAGTCTTTGTGGGCCTCTCTACACCTTGTTTACTGTTGCATAGGAACCATGCTCCTTTTTCCACAGTGCAGCCTGACCCGCCTGTCAATATCACTATCACTGCTGTGGCCAGACATCCCCACTGGCTCAATGTCACCTGGAAAGACCCTCACTCCTGGAACTCCCGCTTCTACAGGCTACAGTTTGAGCTTCGATACCGAGCTGAACGGTCCAAGACGTTTACAACATGGATGGTAAATTCATCTTTTACTTCCAGACAGAAAAGTGGCCCCAGAACTTGAGGGTTGTGGAAAGGGTACTCAAAGAAAAATAGGGACTCTGGGTCTTGCTTGGCCATTTCCTACCTGCATGTTCTTGGCCAGGTCTTTGACCCTTTCTGAGCCTTGGTGTCTCATTTCTTTTCTTTTCTTTTTTTTTTCTTTTAGTTGGAGTCTCACTCTGTCACCCAGGCTGGAGTGCATGGCACGCTCACGGCCACTGCAGCCTCCACCTTCTGGGCTCAGGCAATCCTTCCACCTCAGCCTTCCAAGTAACTGGAACTACAGGCGTGCACCACCATGCGTGGCTAATTTTTTGATTTATTGTAGAGACGAGGGTTTGCCAAGTTGCCTAGGCTCTTCTTGAATCCCTGGGCTCAGGCATTCCTCTCGTCTCCGCCTCCCAAAGTGCTGGGATTCCAGATATGAGCCACCGTGCCCGGCTTGGTGTCTCATTTCTAACATGCCGGCTGGTCTCCTTTCCACAAGTCTGTCTGTGAGAGGGAGGGTACTACCTGGAAGAGGTTTGGGTTACAAGCGCGTCAGGGGTTGTGGCTTGCAGGATTCTTTTTTCCTTGTTTTTAGTTAGAGTCCCACTCTGTCACCCAGACTTGAGTACAGTGGCATGCTCCTGGCCACCCGCTGGGCTCCGGCGATCCTTCCGCCTCAGCTTTCCAAGTAGCTGGAACTACAGACGTGCGCCACCACGCCCGGCTAATTTTTGATTTATTATAGAGATGAGGTCTTGCTAAGTTGCCTAGGCGGGTCTCGAACCCGCGGGCTCAGGCAATCCACTCACCTCAGCTTCCCAAAATGCTGGCTTGCAGGATTCTCTAGCACATGGGGTGGGGACAAGAACTTTCAGCATCAGCTGGTGTTGGTCTTGAGGGCAGGCCTCTCACTGTGAGCTTCCAGAGGTCTCTGCCAGCTGAAGGGTAGGATTGGCCAGGAAGCCACCCGGGGCCCCTCCCCAGAATCACCGTGCCTCCTGCCCTCAGGTCAAGGATTTCCAGCATCACAGTGTCATTCACGACGCCTGGCGTGGCATGAGGCACGTGGTTCAGCTTCGGGCCCAGGAGGAGTTTGAACAAGGCTCGTGGAGCGAGTGGAGCCCGGAGGTCATGGGCACCCCTTGGACAGGTACTACAGTGGGCACGGAGGAAGGAGGGGATGTTTCAGCTTTGTTCCTGTATCTGGTACTCTATGTGTAAGTACCTCAAAACTAGTGGCTTAAAATGGCAATCATTTTTTAATCTGATTTTGAAACTAAGTCAGCCAGACAGCTCTTTGACTGGACTTGCCTGAATCACTAGTGCAGCTGCCACCAGTTGTGGATGGTCCAAGATGGGCTCACTCACACGTCTGATGGGTTCTGGCTGGTGGCTGGAGTCCTTGGTTCTCTCCATGGTTTCTCACCTTCCTGAAGGCCAGCCCAGGCCTGGGGCAGACCTCCGGCCATCTTACAACTGAATAGGAGTAGCTGCAAAGAATTGTATTTAACCTAGTTACTAATGCTATTTTTAAAAAGCTAACGGTTATAATAACTGCCTTTTGAGAATTATTGGAAGTTAGCATGTTTGTTATAAAACATGAAAAATCCCAGAAAAACCTGAAGAAGATAATAATTATCACTAGTATTTTTACTACCTAGAGAAAACCAGGAAGGATATTTTAGTAGGTGTCTTTCTTTTTCCTGGGTATATTTATGCATCTGTGTATTTATATATAAATATAATATCCTGAGCATCCTCCATCTTCATCACATATTTTTGGAAATGTATTATTTAGTAACTGCATGATTAATTTTTTTTTTTTAACCCATGGAAAGTTAAGGAAAAAAAAAAAAAGCTTTTAGGCTGGGTGTGGTGGCTCATGCCTATAATCCCAGCACTTTAGGAGGTTGAGGTGAGAGGATTGCCTGAGCCCACAGGTTTGAGAACAGCCTTGGCAACTTGGGGAGACCTCATCTCTACAATAAACCAAAAAATTAACCGGGCATGGTGGTGCGTGCCTGTAGTTCCAGCTACTTGGAAGGCTGAGGCAGAAGGATCGCCTGAGCCCAGAAGTTTGAAGCTGTGGTGGCCATAAGTGTGCCACTGCTCTCCGGCCTGGGCAACAGAGTGAGACTCCCCCAACTCAAAAAAAAAAAAAGCTTTAAAGAAGTGAAGAACAGCCTTTGATACAAGCTGGGTCCCTTGTCCTAGCCCCTCCCATATCCAACCCTGCTTTCTGGAAGAGGCTGCCTGACTCCTTGTTTCTAGTTCTTCAGGCAGTGTTCTCCTTAACTCTATACACCAAGCTTATGTGGCTGGGTTTTTTCTGATAAGACAACCTGAGACATTATCTACTGATGCCCTGCTCTGAAGGATTAGGATTCAGCAGGCCTAGGGTGTAGGAAGTTCCTGACCACAGCCCAGAGAGTGGTCACCCAGTCTTTGCTTGAATGCTTCCAGAGATGGGGTGCTTACTACCTCTTGTAGCAAGCAGTTCATTTTATCATTCCCTGCATTCTTTTTTTTTTTTTGAGTCGGAATCTTGCTCTGTTGCCCAGGTTGGAGTGCAGTGGCACGCTCGTGGTCACCACAGCCTCAACCTGCTGAGCTCAGAAGATCCTTCCACCTCAGCCTTCCTAGTAGCCTAAACTACAGGCATGTGCCACCATGCCTGGCTAATTTTTAAATTTTTATTGTAGAGTCCAGGTTTTGCCAAGTCTCCCAGGTTGGTCTCGAACCCTTAGGCTGAGGCAATCCTCTCACCTCTGCCTCCCAACGTGCTGGAATTGCAGGTGTGTACCACTGGGCCCCCAGCGCTCTTATTGAAATTTTTTTGGATTTTTTTTTTTTTTGTAGAGATGAGGTCTTGCTATGTTTCCTAGGCTGGTCTTGAACTCCTGGGCTCATGCAATCCTCTCACCTCAGACTCTCAAAGTGCTGGGATTACAGGCATGAGCCACTACACCTACACCTGGCCCAGGATTCTTATCATAGAATGGCTTCTGGGCTCATTTCGGGGTCAGATCGTTTCCAGCCCTGCAACATAGTTGAACCAAATTAATCATTCTTAAACACTTGCCAATTAAAAAGAAAAGAGTACCAGGCATGGTGGCTCATGTCTGTTCTTCCAGCACTTTGTAAGGCTGGGGGGGAGGGCTTCTTGAGCCCAGGAGTTTGAGACCAGCCTGGCCAGCATAGCAAAACCTTGTCTCTACAACAAATTAGTCAGTCGTGGTGGCACGTGTCTGCAGTTCCAGCTATGCGGCAGTTTGAGGCGGAACTATCGAAGTTTGCTTGAGTTCAGAAAGTTCAGTCTGTGGTGAACCATGATTATGCCACTGTACTCCACCCTGAGTAAGAGAGTGAGACTGTATCCCGCAAAAAAAGAAGAGAAAGAAAGAAAAAAAACAAAGACTGGGCATGTGAATATGGTGATTCACACCTGTAATACCAGCCAAGGCAGGAGGATTGAGACCAGCCTGGGCTATATAGTAAGACCTCATCTCTACAGAAAAAAAGAAAAAAAAAACCCCCCAAAAAAATATTAGCCAGGCATGGTGGTGTACACCAGTAATCCTTGTTACTTGGGAGGCTGAGGTGGGAGGATCACTTGTCCCCAGGAATTAGAGACTGCCGTGAACTGTGATCGTGCTACTGCACATCAACCTGAGTGACAGAATGACAGAATGAGACTCTGCTTAAAAAAAAAAAACAAAAACAGGCTGGGCTCAGTGGCTCGGCCTGTTAATCCCAGTGCTTTGGGAGGCCGAGGTGAGTGGATTACCTGAGCCCGCGGGTTTGAGACCTGCCCGGGCAACTTGGCAAGACCTCATCTCTACAATAAATCAAAAATTAGCCGGGCGTGGTAGCGCGCGCCTGTAGTTCCAGCTACTTGGAAGGCTGAGGCGGAAGGATCGCTGGAGCCCAGCAGGTCGAGGCTGCGGTGGCCGGGAGTGGCCACTGCCCTCCAGTCTGGGCGACGGATTGA